TGTGTGTGTGTGTGTATGTGTCTGCGTATGCGAATGCGTATGCGTATGGGTATGCGTATGTGTGTGTGTATATGTACATGCATGTATATGTGTATATGTATATGTGTAAGTGTATGGATACGTGTATGTGTACGTGTGTATGCGCATCTGTGTGTATATGTGTATGTGCATGTGTGCGTCGAGAGAGTGTGGGCATGCATATGCGTATGTATATCTGTATGTGTATTTGTGCAAGTATGTGTATACCTATATATATATATACATATGTGTTTAAATGTATGTTTATATCTATATGTATGTGTATGCGTATCGTCTCGTACAGCCCCCTGACCAAGCCCTAAAACCTTCAATCGTAAAATCTTATCTTATTTGTTTTCCAGTGCCTTGCCTGATCTGCTAGCCGATCCAGTGCGGCCGCAAGCGCCTGGGTCAGTGGCAGATTGAGAATCTTGCTTCTGAAGACAATACTTTCATCATGCTTCTGATCAAGACTGCTTACGTCTATTGTGGGAAAAATCTGCACCTACTGCTACTGCTGCTGCTGCTGCTCCTTCAACTCCTACTCCTGCGCCTACTCCCATTCCCTCTCTCACTCCGACTCCTAATTACTCCTACCTACTGCTGCTCCCCCTACTACTACGACGACTACTACTACCACCACTACTTCTACTCCTACTACGACTACGACTACGACGACTCTTGCTACTGGCATCTGCGCTTGCTGTGGCCAGGGCCGAGGTTGCAAGGCTGTAAGTTCATAGGCCATAGGTTATTTTAGATACTAGTATAAGTACTTTTAGGTTCTTATAGGTACTTCTCTTATAGGTTAATTTATACATTTTATAATTCAATTATGCACTATTATTCATTGGGGTCCCCTCCCAATTCAAGTGGTCTCGAACTCCGCCGAACTGAGCTGAAGACGGCGTCCTCGTCCTCCGGTGAATCATCCGGAGGACGGTCCACCTCGACGCGCCGGAAGCTGCAACAGCTAGGCTCCCGAAGTGGGGGCATAAGGTTTCTTCACGCACACTCGTGGGGTCTGCTCTCGATTTGGGGCTTAGTGAGTTTAGTGTTCCGGGTTCAGGGTCCAAAGTTCGGCGTTTGAGCTTTAGGGGTCGGGGGCCAAGCATTGTTGACGCTGCTGTCTTCTAAGTCAGTGGCGGTGTGTGGTGATTGTTTCAACGCCAGTAGTAGTAAAAGAAGCAATGACAAATCATGTGCATAGATGACACCATCTACAGAATAAGGAATGTGCAGAGGAATGGATCATTTTTACCAAGCAGTGAGGGCACGAATGATGACGTTGCATCGACCACAAGTACAGTATGGTTTGTATACGGCAACGCGAGCAAAAAACAAGCTATGTAGAAGCATGCCCTGGCTTCGTGAAATGACAGCTGTTCATGTGAATTTTCTCAGTGCTGCCATAGGCATGCACATGCAGACGACGACACGTGTCAGCCACAACCATTTCTTATGACAAAGACCGGCGGTGGTTCGAAATGACAGAGGCCATTTCTAGGTCCGATGATAGCCGCATTCATGATGACCATTCAAGGATCGCAACCTTGGCCGGTGCCTAGCACAACCACCACCAGACCGACACCCGCCGCTCCATACCCCAAAGCGCTGAATCCGTTGGGCAGCCAACGTATTAAACGCCAAACCCTCAAACCGTTTGAAGCAAACCATTTGGCGGCTTGAGGCGGATAAGGGACCCTAATTTCAACCCTAAGTCGCGGAATGATTATTATAAGAGGCCAAACCGCACAAAACCCACAATAACCCGCGCAGGATGCCTACAACCCATTTAAAACTCATGAAACCCGCCAAAAAGCCTAGACAAAATCCTAGATTCGGCCCCGAACCCTTCTCTCAAACCCCAGGAAGAACCCTAAACCCCAAAACCCTAAACCCTAAACCCTAAACCCCCTAAACCGATTCTCGGCCTCGGCATGGAGCAGCAGCGCCTGGAGCACAGCGCCCCGGCGGGGTGCCGGGGAGGCCGCGAGAGCCGCCAGCTGCTCGAGGCTGAGGCCGCGATGCCTGGGTTTAGGGGTTTAGGGTTTGGGGGTTAGGGTTTAGGGGTTTAGGGGTTGGGGTTTTAGGGTTTAGGGGTTTATGTTTTTAGGGTTTAGTGGTCTAGGGTTTAGTGGTTCAGGGCTTGATATGTAAGGGTTCTTTAGGCTTTACGAGAGGGTTCTTATAGCGCCTTCATGCGGCCTGGGGTTCCATAGGCTCCTTCTAAAAGGATATGATCAGGGTTTCTGGGCTTTAGGGTCTGCGATCTCCGGTTTGAGACTTCGGAGGGTAGTCGCTTTTGGTTCTAGGGATTGTGCAGGGTTCAGAATTTTGTGGTGTAACGTAGGCACCTTAATAATTAGAATATGGTTTTGGGGTAATTATAACTAATTATTATACTATACTTACGCTAAGGAGCCCCGAAAATAGTATAGGTCGGTTCAGGGCCTGCTGGGTTTAGTCTTTACTTGGGAGCTGAAGGGCCTTCTCCCGCAAGCGTGCACTTGCAGGGAAGCTGTGTGGTTGAGGGTTTAGAGATCAAGGCTGCTGGTCTTCCAGCACCCCCCCAAGTACCCCTTGATAGAGCCCTTAGGGTCCTAAATAGTGGGGTATGTAGGGTATATCAGAGGGTACTTGGGGGGGTGCTGGTTCATGTGAAGGTCGGGAGTGTTGTTTAGGGGCTTTCCGGCTTGACTTTTCACCAATCTCGTGCTTAACTCCATGACACAACAAACCCTGAGGCCGAACAGGAAGGCCTAAACGAACCGCCCAAACATCCAAGTACCCATAGGCCCATAGGGGCCATAGTAGTTCCTTTTTGGGATTACCTCATAGGATCCTAAATATAAGCCGCAAAAAGGAACTACTATGGGGCCTATGGGTACCTGATGCTAAGGTTGCGGGGCCTGCATAACGCCTCAGCCATCACTGTGCCCAGCGCCCGCGCCAGGTCCGCAGTGGCTGCCCGCTGGGCGCAGTGTGCCAGGGCCCTTGCCACGAACCGAAACGGATAGTTCATGACAGTTCTCAAACATAGGGTCCCTTGTAGGGGCCTTTTTATACGGGTGCCGTACTACGCTTTCTATGTTTGGGACCGAAAAAGGGAGCCTAATTTAGAGAACTGCCCAAATGGCTAGAGCAAGGGTTCTGGGATCCTGCAGTGATTTAGTGCATCCTGCAAGCTTTGCGGATAGCGCCTTGGATGTAAGCATATGAGAAAAGAAACACAGAAACGCTGCACTTCGTGAAGATCTCGGGCGAAGAGAGCAACTAACAGCAACTCAGCAGCTGGAGTCCCGGGAGCCTGAAAGTTCATGACAGGCTCCCTGTTCGACATCAATTTTATTAGTTTAAGGTTTAGGGTCTAGGGTTTAGGGGTGTAGGGTTTAGGGTTTAGGGTTTGTGTTAAGTTGCAGTAGCCTTAGTTTAGGGTTTACGGTTTAGGGATACTACCCTGACTTGCAGACCCAACCAAACCCCAACCCTAAACTCGACAAATCCAACCAGCCCACACGGCCTTGCGGCATTGACGAGCTCCTGCTCCAAGCGGGCAGCCGCGATCAGGGGTTTTGGGGCTTAGAGCTCACAGCCTCTTACCGTAAACCCTAAACTGCATTGCCCTGGCTCGGCGCTTGGTGAGGGGCTCAGTTCGTACGATTCGTCTTCAGGCGGTTTTGAATCGTTCCCTGCCCGGTGCAAGGCTGCTCTTCGTGGGGATACGGAACGAAACGTAACAAGCAGTATAGGGCTGAAGTTTTATACTTAAAGGATCATAGGACTTAGTAAGTAGAGTTAATTATAATTAGGGTAACTATACTTCAAACCCCAATTAACGGACTTATAACCTTACTTACTAAGTCCCATGATCCTCCAAGTACTTACAGTATAATCAGTCCACGACCCCGCTTCTAGGCCCCCTATGTTACAGTGACTGGACCCTCAAAATCACCTACAACCTTGACCCTGATTAGAATAACCACTTTCATACTCCCTAACCCTCGAAAGCACCCTCATAACCCTGAACCCCAAGCCCTAAACGCCCTAAGCCCTGAACCCTAAACCGCTAAACCCTAAACCCCTAAACCCTAAACCCTAAACCCTACACCTCTAAGCCCCTAAGCCCCTAAACCCCGAACCCTAAACCCTAAACCTCTAAACGCCTAAGCCCCTAAACCTCTAAACCTCTAAGCCCCTAAACCCCGACCCAAAAACCCTAAACCCTAAGCCGTAAAAGCCCCCTAAGCCCCTAAACCCTACAAGCCCTAAACCTCTAAACCCCTAAGCCCCTAAACCTCTAAACCTCTAAGCCCCTAAACCCCGAACCCTACAAACCCTAAGCCCAAGAACCCTCCACTCTGGGCTGGTTCTCTGCTGGGGCTATATGAAGAATGACCATTTTTAATCCTTATCGGGTTTAATGATAACAAAAAGGTGGCTGTCAAAATTATGGTCCCTTTTTGGGTCCGTAATATAATACGGCACCCAATATTTAGGGTACCTAAAAAGGAACCCTAACTTTAACAACCACTCAAAAATGTAAAATGGCATCCAACAATCATTAACACTCCAAATAACAAAACCCTAAACCCTGAACCTCTAAACCCCTAAACCCTAAACCCCTAAACCCTAAAACCCTAAACCCTAAACCCTAAATGGTATCCGACAAGGACCCCGTGGGCCTGGGGAGCCAGCCTTTCAGGAACCCTTTTAAGGAACCCTTTAAGGCATCCTTTTAGGCATCCTTTTCAGGAACCCTTTAAGGAACCCTTTAATTTAAGGAATCCTTTAAAGAACCCTTTTAAGGAACCCTTTTAGGGAATCCTTTAATTTAAGGAACCCTTTTTATTAAGGCATCCTTTTAAATCCACTCTGGGCCTGGGGAGCCAGCCTTCCGGCCGCTGCTGCGGCCCGTGGCGCCACGAGGCCCAGGAGCCTCCAAGGCAGGGGGCTTGGGATTTAGGGTTTAGGGTTTAGGATTTAGGGTTTAGGGTTCAGGGTTTAGGGGTTAGGATTTAGGGTTTAGGGGTTTCGGGTTTAATTTGGGGGGTTAAGGGGTTTGGGGTTCAGGGCCTTAGGGGCTTGGGAGCTTCAGGGGCTTTAGGGCTTTAGGGCTTTGGGGGTTTAGGGGTTTAGGGGTTTTGGCTTTGGGGGTTTAGGGCTTTAGGGTTTAGGGACCTGAGGTTTAGGGGTTTGGGGTTACGGGAGTTGTGGTATATTCAGGTCCAGGGATTTGTCATTGGGGGTTCGGTCTACTTAAGAATCATGGGACTTAGTAAGTAGAGTTATAATTAGATCAACTATACCTATAACCCCAATTAGGGACTTATAACCTTACTTCTAAAGGTTATAATTAAGGTAACTATACTTATAACCCCAATTAGGGACTTATAACCTTACTTACTAAGTCCCATGATCCTCCTAGTAGGGCAGTCTCCGCGCTTTGCTGGTGTTGGGGGCCTTCGACATTTGCAGCGGCCCAGATCCTGGAAGTGTTGCGCAGCCAGTACTGACATTTGGAGAGTTGTGACGTTGTTGTCGTCCGTCCTGGAACTAAAGGCTTCCGACATTGAATATGTATGTCTGTATCTATATATATATATATATATATGTATATATATATATATATATCTATCTCTCTCTCTCTCTCCCCATTGAGTTACATTCTTTGTTATATCTACTTGTTTATACTGTTCGAATATACAGACACATACACTTGTGTGTATTTACTTACTTTTGTAGTTCTACTTAGCTATTTATTCATGTGCTGGTCTATAACGGCACTGGGCCGGGCAAGCGCCAGATGACTGGGGAGTGATGACGACTACTTCGAAAGCTTGCGACACACATTTCTCCCTGCAAGGCGTGTAATGTAGAAGCCCTATATTAGAATAGGGTGTTTTGGTATATATTTTGAATATAACAGGCAACCCCCCCTCCCCCCCAAAAAACAAATAGTATAGGTAATTCTTCAGGCCCGAGCCTGGGTGCGTCGATGCCGCACAGCAGCTGCAGGCCTCTGCTTACATGCAGGGGACTTATAGGGTTTAGGGTTTAGGGTTTTAGGGTTTAGGGTTTAGGGTATTCGCGCCGTTGCTCCTGCCGTTGCGATCGTCCTGGTGCCGGTGTTTGTGATCAGTGCTGGTGCCGGTGCAGAGTCGGCGCCGCTGCTGGCCCGCTATTCTCCGTTTGTGTTCCTCGACACTTAGCCCAAAGCCGCTTGCCTCAAAACCCTAAACCCTGAACCCCTAAACTCCTAAACCCCTAGACCCTAAACCTTAACCCCTAAACCCTAAACCTTAAACTCCTAGACCTCATCTTCGAGCTTCGAACACCCCAGCCTCACCCTGACTTTAGCAGCTCGGCCCAGGCACAGGTTACGAGCTGCGCAGGCGAGACATCTGCGGAGCTCGATATCTGCAGCGAGGTGTTTCATGTCGAAAGTTAAATCAGCAGGGTTTAGGGAGTTTGGGGTTTAGCGGGTTTAAAGGGGTTAAGGGAGTTTAGGGTTTAGGGAGTTTAGGGAGTTTAGGGAGTTTGGGGTTTAGGGGAGGTTAGGGTTTAGGGAGTTGCGGGTGGAGTTTAGGGTTTAGGGTTTGGGCTTCAGGGAGCTTGGGGTTGAGGGTTGAGGGAGTTTAGGGGAGTTTAGGGGAGTTTAGGGTTTATGGAGTTGCGGGTTTGGGGTGTGGGGTTTAGGGCTCGAGGGTTCTTAGTGTTTGCGGGGCCTTGGGACTCCTTGCCAGCACAGCTCTGAAAGACTTCCTGGAGTTTCGTAAGGTAGGGTAGGGTTAGACCCTGAACCCTAAACCCTAAATAAACCCTCAACCCTTTATTCACACTTAACCCTAAACCCTGAACCCTAAACCCTTATTCACACTTAACCCTAAACCCTGAACCCTAAACCTTAGTGTGAGGAGCTGCAGCACAGGGCTTGAAGGTCGCAGAAACTCGGGCTTATCTTACTGGTGAGGCTTTAGGGCTTGAGGGTTTAGGGCTTTAGGGTTTAGGGCTTTAGGGCTTCAGGGTTTAGGGCTTCAGGGTTTAGGGTGTAACATCGATCAGGGTCTTTGCTGCGTCTCCCCTAACCAGGCCCTACCCCTAAACCTTAGGATCTTTGGGATTGGGCCCACAGGGCTCACCGGGTGTAAACATCGACAAGTTGGGCTTTGGACATTCTTAAGGTAAGGGCCTTAATAAATACCTATACCATTTTGGGTGTTCCTTATTCTATTATAGAGCACAAAAAACCCTATTCTAACTATTAACTACAGTATAGTATACCCAAAAAACCGTATTCTAACTATTAACTATATATAGTAGCTATAGTCTAATATACCCCAAGAAACCCCCATTCTAACTACTAGCTATAGTAACTATAGTATAATATACCCCAAAACCCGATTCTAATTATTAAGGCCCCTACGTTAGCGTTTAT